TAGGTGGCATCTGTAAGGCGAGCACCCTCCGTGATGCACTGCTGTTCTGGTTCGAATTAGCTTCACGATGGGCTCACAGTCACAATTTAACATACACACAATAAAACAATTTTTGGTGCGTACAAGCGTACAGCAGGTAGGCATTTGCCTTGCATGAGGCTGACAGGGGTTGATCCTTGAACACTTTCAAAAGCAACTTACGAGAACCACCACGAATAACTGCTGAGCATCCCCAGGCACCCAAACAAAAGAAAACTAAATTTCTTCCCATATTCAAAAAACCATTGCAATGATCCAAAGGCAAAGATATGCATGGTGTCAGATTGACTGAGAGAAGTCCAGAAAGGGCACATGCCCCTTTAGGTGTACAGTCAAGCTAGTTATACAGCCGCGAACACAAGGAATATTTGACATATCTGACAGATAAGGAAGAATGACAACAACGTCAAGAAAGCAAAGCACAGGATCTATCCGAAATGAACAGCTCCGGGGAGAAGACACCCCTACCCCATGCCACACCTCCATATCGCATGTTCTAGGGATGAGAAGGGGATACTCAATGTTCAATGAGCAACTCAAAGATGTTGTGGATTGGAGGACTCCTGGGTTGGCCACATGCAAGGCAAGCATCCTACTTGCCCTACTATTGCTCTGGCCATTTCTAAATAAATGGGAGTAAACAGGAAAAATCGGAGAGCAATTACAAAGCTTCAGGTTTAGTTCTCGGTCATTCAATGAAACACCCATCCCTTCACTGTGCCCATTTCCCACCACTAAAACCCCAAGTATACCGCCATTCCACAGTCTCCCCCTACCTGTGGGGCAGATGATTTCCACATTCTTCTCTCTACTTTGATTACATTCAATATTTTGACACGAGACCATTATTATTTGAGATTTTACCCCAGCACTCAGATGTGGCGAAAACGCAACAGTAGACAATTCTTTTGCGATTGCTGGTTAAAAATAACATATGATTTTGGAATTCTGAAATTTTAACAACTAAATCTGCAGGGATTTCTGCCAAAACCTGCTGGGTTCCGAGATTTGTTCCTGAGTCTCTGGGACTATGGCCATTAAACAGCTTTACCACAAGCCAGAGAGGCGGTTCGTGGGAATGACATAGGCTCATCTTGGGGAGGGGAGGAATTGGCCGGCTCCACCCCATCCTGAGAGGCCCCACATATCTTTCTCAGTGTGGGCCCAAACCTGACTTTCCAAAGGCCTTGGAGGATGGAGGCCACCGATCCACCAAGTGGGAGCAGTTGGGGGGACAGCACCAATTCTCCCTGGGGTGGACCGGGGACAGTAACCTACTGCAGGGTCCAGATGCATTTCTGCTAAAAGGCGCTGGGTTTCGAGATTTTTCTCTGAATCTCTGATCATAGCCATTAGGCACCTTGATCACGAGCCAGAGAGGTCAATCATAGGTGCCAGACAACTCGAGCTTTCGGTGGGGTGGGGAGAAAAGGGCCGGCTCCACCACCATCCAGTTAGGCCATGCATGTCTCCTAACAGCAGTCCCAAACCTAACCGTCCAGAAGCCATAAGAGATGGCGGCCATTGAGCCGCCAGGCACGAAACCTATTGCCACCTGAAATACCGAGCTTCAGTAACCTACTGTGGGAACCAGACACATTTCTTCTGCAAGCTGTTGGGTTCCGAGATCTGTTACTGAGACTCTGGGATCATGGCCGAGTGATCAAGAGCCAGAGAGTCCGTACATGGGCAGCGACTCGGGGTCTCATTGAGGTGGGGAGGAAAGGGCAAAGTCCACCCCAATCCCATGAGGCCCTGCAAGTCTTGTCACCACAGGCCCAAACCTGTCTGTCCAATGGCCTCTGGAAGATGGTGGCCACCGATCCACCAAGTGGGATCAGGCGGAGATACACACCCATTCCCTCTTGTGGTGCTCTGTCACTGGTAACTCATTGCGGGAACCAGGGGCATCTCTGCAAAAAGCTTCTGGGTTCCGAGATCTGTTACTGAGACTCTGGGATCATGGCCGAGTGATCAAGAGCCAGAGAGTCCGTACATGGGCAGCGACTCGGGGTCTCATTGAGGTGGGGAGGAAAGGGGAGAGTCCACCCCAATCCCATGAGGCCCTGCAAGTCTTGTCACCACAGGCCCAAACCTGTCTGTCCAATGGCCTCTGGAAGATGGTGGCCACCGATCCACCAAGTGGGATCAGGCGGAGATACACACCCATTCCCTCTTGTGGTGCTCTGTCACTGGTAACTCATTGCGGGAACCAGGGGCATCTCTGCAAAAAGTTTCTGGGTTCCGAGATTTGTTACTGAGACTCTGGGATCATGGCCGAGTGATCAAGAGCCAGAGAGTCCGTACATGGCAGCGACTCGGGGTCTCATTGAGGTGAGGAGGAAAGGGGAGAGTCCACCCCAATCCATGAGGCCCTGCATGTCTTGTCACTGCAGGCCCAAACCTGTCTGTCCAATGGCCTCTGGAAGATGGTGGCCACCGAGCCACCAAGTGGGATCAGGCGGAGATACACACCCTTTCCCCCTTGTGGTGGTCTGTCACTGGTAGCTCATTGCGGGAACCGGGAGCATCTCTGCAAAAAGCTTCTGGGTTCCGAGATTTGTCTCTGAGTCTCTGGGATCATAGCCTTTAAGCAGTTTGATCAGGAAGCAGAGACCTTGCCTCCAATTATATAGCTGTGCCGGAAATGGTTTGTTGGTATGTCACGCACATACCTAACTTTTGGCTGTTTACTTTCTTGGAAGACTTTGCCGAAAGTTTTTGTTGTCTGGCCAAAGGCACAGCATCAATTTCGGTGTATCTGGAAGTCTGACGATGCCATCAGGCAGCTGATGCACTCGCCTTACAGGCACAAATTGACCTGCTGGTGGGACCATACACGCAGAAAGTAGAAATTCTATATATGGAAAAAAACACCAATAGTGGGGTTGGACTCACTGTAAAGCGAGTAGGATGCTTGCCTTTCCGGTAAAGGTAAAGGCCCTCCCGTTGTTCGTCGATTTGCTCAAGCGTTCCTTGCTGATCCAAGTCAAACTTCCCCATCCCATAGGAACCCAGAAACACCACAGAATAATTCCTGAGCTGCAGAACCAGAAGTAACCTTGAGCATCAAAGAAACCCTTCCAACTCCACTGAATAAAAAAGCTATTAAAATTAATCCAAAGAGGGGCTGAAGTGATAGCAGAGCGGATAGGGTGTTTGACTTGCACGTGACCAACCCAGGTTCAAATTCAAGGAACAATATGGTCCCCTGAGCTTTACCAGGAGTTATTACTAAATGCATAAACCAGGAGTAACCCCATGTGCAATGCTGGGTGTGACCCAAAAAGCAAAAAAAATATTAATCCAAAGAGTAAATTTTCAGAGGCAAATATCTCTCACTTGTCCAAACCCCAGCATAGAAGCCAATGAAAATGACCGACCGCAAAAGTGTCCCTTTCCTTTGTGGGCTGCCCGAGAACATATCTGGAGTTTCGATAAGTGTTATTTCTAGTCCAAAGGTTCCAAACAGGGTCCTGCAGAGTCTCGAGTAGGGAGGAATGAGATGGTCAAGACCCCCACTCTCTTCAGGCTCCTCATACCAAGGCCTGAAATCCATGTGCCCACCCTCCAGTACCATCTTGGACCTGGATGCAATCGTGGCCGCACAGGACTTCAGGATAACACACCCTCACCCATGACACCTGCGCCACAGAACAGCCTCCAATGCACCCCTTAAAAACTCCACATCCCCTAAAGTCTGGATGTCTGGAACAAGTAAAAAAGCGTGAAAGTGCCCTACAAGCTGGCGTGACCTGCCGCTCAAGTTCCCAAACCAGGATTTTCAGGGGACTCAAAACCTAACACAGGAAAGACTGAAGAATGAAGGTTTACCTATTTTTCCATTTTCAAAGTATTCAATGCTGCATCTTGGTTGATTTCTCCCATAACTCCCGCTAACCAGACCCTCTGGGCCAAGCCAGAAGCATAGCAAACAATAACAGAGTAGTGAGCCATAACAGCTCTGAGCAGGGAGATGATTCTGTACCTGTTTATTCAGTCATCTTCCTCCTTATTTTCATCACCAGGACCCATTATTTACAAGTTAACACACAAGCAATTCCAAGCACTAGAATACTGGCATAGGTGCATCCCGGGTGAAAACCAGCAGGTACCTTTCAATGACATGAGGAGAAGCCTGTTCCGAGCAGGCAGGCTTACTTCCCTCTTAACTGCACTTTTTTAACACCCTTGACCACCGTGTCCAAAGGAAGCTTGCTTGACTGACTTGTCCTGTTCTGTCCTTAGAGACTGTTATTAAGGGATAAAATCACTCAGTATGAACTTTTATGTTTCTTAAGGTGTGAGGGGTACATGAAGCCCTTCCCACTCCCCTGACATATATGCAGTTTGTCTCCAGAATTGATTCTCACATAATGAGTTAGAGAATAGCACCAAATGAAGGCCTTCCCACAAGTCTGACACTGATAAGGTTTCCCTCAACAGTGAATTTTCCTCTGCTTAGAAAGGATTCAGAATGGCAGAAGCCCTTCCCACATTCCTCGCATACATAAGGTTTTTCTCTGGCACGAATCCTCCTATGTACACTAAATCTGAGGCTTCTCATAAGGCCTTTCTACATTTATTACAAGTATATGGTTCCTCTCCAGTGTGTATTCTCCTATGTACATTAAGTATTGAGGCCATACAGAGGCCTTCCCACATTCCTTACATATACAGTTTCTCTCCAGTGTGAATTTTCCTATGTATACTAATATTTGAGGCTGTAGCAAAGGCTTTCCCACATTCGTTACATATATATGGTTTCTCTCCACTATACAAATTCTCCTATGTACAGTCAATTGTTAAGATGGAGTAAAGGTCTTTCCACACTCCAGACATGTCTAAGGCTTCTCTACAGAGTGAATTCTCATGTGTAGAGTAAGGGAAGAGAACCGTGAGAATTCCTTCCCACATGTCTGACACTGAGGAGGTTTCTCTCTGAGATGAATTTTCATATGAGCAGTAAGTCTTGATGCTCCAGCAAAGGCCTTCCCACATTCCTTACATATATATGGTTTCTCTCCAGTGTGAATTCTCCTATGTACAGTAAGTTTTGAGGGTCTAGCAAAGGCCGTCCCACATTCCTTACATATATATGGTTTCTCCCCAGTGTGAATATTCCTATGTTCCCTAAGAGTAGAGGCTACAGCAAAGGCCTTCCCACATTCCGTACATATATACGGTCTCTCACCAGTGTGAATTCTCCTATGTACACTAAGTCTTGAGGCTACAGCAAAGGCCTTCCCACATTCCTTACATATATACAGTTTCTCTCCAGTGTGAATTTTCCTATGTTCTCTAAATGCTGAGGCCCAAGCATAGGCCTTTCCACATTCCTTACATATATATGGTCCTTCTCCAGTGTGAAAATTCCTATGTTTCCTAAGTCTTGAGGCTGTAGCAAAGGCCTTCCCACATTCCTTACATATATACGGTTTCTCTCCAGTGTGAATTCTCCTATGTACACTAAGCCTTGAGGCTACAGCAAAGGCCTTCCCACATTCCTTACATATATACGGTTTCTCTCCAGAGTGAATTCTCCTATGTATACTAAGGCCTGAGGCTTCAATAAAGGCCTTCCCACATTCCTTACATATATATGGTTTATCTCCAGTGTGAACTCTCCTATGTACAGTAAGTTTTGAGGTTGCAACAAAGGCCTTCCCACATTCCTTACATATATAAGGTTTCTCTCCAGTGTGAATTCTCTTATGTACACTAAGACCTGAGGCTACAGCAAAGGTCTTCCCACATTCCTTACATACATACGGTTTCTCTCCAGTGTGAATTCTCCTATGTGTACTGAGGCTTGAGGATTGAGTAAAGGCCTTTCCACACTCCTTACATTTATACGGTTTCTCTCCAGTGTGAATTCTCCTATGTGTACTCAGGCCTGAGGATCGAGTAAAGGTATTACCACACTCCTGACATACATAAGGCTTCTCTCCACTATGAGTTTTCATATGTCTCTTAAGATTAGACATGTGAATGAAGGCCTTCCCACATGTCTGACATTCATGAGGTTTCTCTCCTGTATGAATTCTCCTGTGCATAATAAGATGTGATGATTGATCGAAGGCCTTCCCACATGCTTCACATGCAAAAGGTTTCGCTCCTGAATTTATAATCATATGGTCTTGATGTAGTAACCCTTGACTGACACTTTGTTCTTGGCAATGACTTTTCTGGGGATTCTGTCCACTGTGGTTTTCTAAGGGAACACCACAGTGCTGAGAACATGGGGAGGCTCCCCCACATTCCTTACACGTAGATGGGTTCTGCTCACGGTGACTGTGGTTGACGGTATGTTGCTGTGAGGGACTCACTATAAACAGTGCTCCTCTCCCTAGCAGCTGCCGCACTGGGGGATTTTGTGCCTGTGAACTGAGAATAACACACTCCAAGGAACTTTTTCCAGGAGAGGGCTTCTTCTGAGTGAGGTAGCTCTCAGCATTCTGATCACCCTCAGAAAACATCCCGCCTGTCTCAGAGTCCTCAGGGGGCTGAGGGCAGGATTGCTCACTCAAGACGTTGTCATACAGTGCAGGATCAGAGACATTCCACTCGGGGTGGCAGCTTTCCTGTAGAACAACAGAGGATTCTAATTATTGACTTATTCACTGAGTCTTTCTATCAAAAAACTGAGCCCTTCAGATGTGGTTTCACACATATGCACCACACAAATGCAATTACCGACATATGAATTGTCTTACTATAGACTAACTTCATGTTACTGTAAGTTGGACGCACAAAATTGATGGATGCAGAGTCAGTAAATGCTGTGACTTCCCCCCCTTTAAATTAATGAAGGAATACAACTGGAAACAATTCCTTCTATAGAAAACGGACGCATCCATTTCCAGAGAAAATGAAATACAACCTCATGTGGGTTTTGTTGAGGCTTAATGTGGAACCTGTGATGCAGGGGTGAAGACAACGCTGCATCGTCACACAGCTGAAACAGACCACGTGGCCATTGCAAAGCTCTCACCACAAGTGATGCCTTTCAGGATCAATGACATATTTTGTTCTTTATCTTTTGTAATTTCTATTTATTGGGGGTTGTGTGGGTGGAGGGGCACACCATGCAGTGACTAGGATGAGTTCTGTGGGTCTATGGTGTCTATAAGGCGTGCTGGGTAAGGACCGTCCATCCCTGTGCAAAGCAAGTATATTTCTCACTGCACCATCTCTAGGGCGCACAAATTAGCTTTCTAAACAACTACCACTGTCAAACACATCAAAACTCACAGTATTTTTCTGCATAGTTGATTTCAGCACCTAATAAAGCTAAGGGTCCTCTACTCCAAGCATCAGGCTTTGGAATTCCTCCCTGCCATTCTCAGGCTTCCACCTCAACAATCACATACTTGGTCCATTTCTGCTGGCATAATAATATTTATTCTCAATTAGCGAATCTTACCAACTCACTCGTACTTGCTGACCCCATTCCCAAATCAAAGTGCTGTAATGCCAAATCTTGAAGTCGTGGTTTCAGTTCTGAAACTGAACAAAACATGCACTTCAAGCACTTGTCCAAAAATGTAGCAAAATGATGCCATGTAGTTAAGAGTACATCTCTGTGGTTCTCAAAGTACAAAGAGTCCCACACTAAAGAAAAGATTTGGATAGTCGAAAACTGTGAGGCCCTTGGCAATTCTACACTAGGTTTTGTTTTTGTTTTTGAGCAGACCTGGTAATGTTCGGGGGACCAGGTTATTGAACAAATTGTTGAACAGGTCACCTTCGGGCACTGCAAGACACTCCCTGCTGTACTATCGTTAAGATCCAAACTAGCTCTGTTATGGTATTACTTATTCGAAAGCCATGGAAGCAATTACAGGATCATTCTGTGATTGACAGTCCAGGGGAATGAAGAACAGCGTGAGTGCGGCACAGACCCAAGGATCCAGGAGACCAAGGCCCCGGTCTCAGCAGCATGTTTCATACATGCTTAGGGCAACCATACACTGCACAGGGCCTGAACCAGGAAGGGTCCTCAGACACTCACCCGCACACATGCCTCTCCTCCCCGACCTCAGGGCTCCTCCTTCCAGCCAGGAGATCACCGCGGGCTTCCTCCCAGAGTGCCCTGCTCCGACAGAGACAGAGGCATGGATAAATGACATGGAAAAGGTGACATGTAAATCCCCATGTTTTTCTGATATAACTGGGCAAATATCTGAAAGGCATGAACAGAATGTCCATTTCCAAAATGTCACATACTTCTAGTTATTCGAGATGTAAGACCCAAGAAAATACCACAAATACTCTAGACCTGGCCTTGTGTATGGCTGACAGGGAGTTGATGAGCACAGTATGTTGTTGGTTTTTGTCTTGTTTGGGGTCTCCCCTGGCAATGCTCAGGGGTGACTCCTGACTCTCTATTCAGAAATAACCACTGGTGGAGCTCGCGGATGACATGGGATGCTGGGGATTTAAACCACGTGCGCCACTTGCAAGAAAATCACTTTCCTCCCTGTATTGTCTCTCTAGGCCCAGCAGCATATGGAGTTTCCTGAGCCCCTCATGTAATCGTCACGGATTTCAGTAAAACTAAGTGCATAATAAATCTGGAAATGGCCAAGTGCGGCAAGAGACCCTTATTTTTTTAAGTTGAAAAATGTATCCAGAAAGAGAGCACATCAGGAGTTTCTCACGGCCAATCCAGTTGTGATACCCGATATCACCTAGGGTCCCTCATGCCAGCCAGGAGTGATCCCTGAGTGCAGAGTCCAGGAGCAAACCCTAAGTCCTGCTGAAGTCTCACAAGAACCTTTAGAAGTAAATCCAAGCACTGAAATAGGGCAGGGTCTAATGAGTTGAGAGACGAGATATCAAATACCCTGTGGTGGGAGAGAGATAGTACAGCACATAGGACAGAACCGATACACACACATGTGGGTTTGATCCCTGGCAGCCCATATGGTCTTGGAGCAAGGCCAGGTGTGGATCCTAAATACACTGGCAGTAATAATCCCGAATCTCTAAGGAAAAAAGAAAATGCAAAAACCGTCTGACTTGAGTAACTGGTGCAAAAGTACTGGGGGTGAGGCACCAACATTTTAAGTTGCCAATAGGTTTCAGTCCATGGTACCCCATGGCCCCTGAGCATTCGTAGGAGTCATCCTTTAGCACAGAGCCAGGAGAACTGTGGACTGTGCCCCCAAACAAAGGCAACAGCAAAACCAATTAAACACACAAAAGTTCGTGTAGTACACAAAGTAAATTGATACACCAATGGGTGGAACTATTTATATGGACCTGAGTGATAACTGGGCAGATAGGGATCTTCCCATGGACACAGTCGAAACGGGTTGATATGAATCACCCCATAGTATCTGGCGACCCCACAAGAGTAATTCCTGAGGACAAGGCTGAGAGTAAGCCCTGAGTATCCACAGGTGAACCCTAAAAAAGAAACGAGGGAGGGAAGAGCTACTGCATGGCTGTACAACATCCAAGCCCGTCACAGAGCAACTGTTGGAAACACAGCTGCCGCCAAGTCCAGGGAGCCCACGCGAGTCTGTTCAGACACCGTTGGCTCCACACTGCTCTCACCGACAGCCTGCAGATGCTGGTAGGTCTCCAGCATCACGTCCCTGTAGAGCTTCCACTGAGAGGCCTCCAGGCATGACCATTCCTCCGGGGTGAAGTTCACAGCCACGTCATTGAAGGTCACTGCGTCCTGAGTCAGCACACGGAGAGGGTGGGAGTCAGAGTCTATCTTAGCCTCATTGCCACTACTGTGAGGCCAGGACCCAGTGTCCTATATTGTCGCTGGGCCTCACCGCTCCTAATGAACCAGCCTTCATGCACACGCATGACTGACGGACCCCAGAAATCACATAAGGCAGGTGGATCTGCTAAAGTGGGAGGATGTTATACAGAAGGTTCTTGGATGTATCTGACTTTCCTGGTAACCCCAGGGCCAATTCGAGCACCACTGGTCCAGTGAGCACTGTAGAGAGGATCACTTGAATACAGACTTGTACGATCCAAAATACTATCACTGAATGTAGCAAAAACCACTGCACACTCACCGCTGCACCCCCAGAGCTCATGACCAGGAGGATCGAGAACTTGGCAGTCCATATAGACAACTACACAGAGCGGTGCATGGCATGTGCGCCTTTAGGAACTCACTGCTCAGGACCACCCCAAATCCCACTCAAAGAAGGTAGAAGTTTCTGGACCCCAACATCTCTACTGGCCTCAGAGATCCTTGGCTCTTTCTCCTTGGGATTGGCGCATGCCCAGAAATCCACACACAAGATTATGTGAACGTAAGACTATATGACTGAGCAGGTAGTCTCTCCAACGCAGGAAGGACAAAACAGGAGAAAATCAAGTCTCGGGGCCCATCTCACAGTAGTTGCCAGGGCGAAAACAGGGCCAGCACACCCCAGGGTGCTCTGAGGCCAGTAAGTTTTCAATCCAGAGCCCATAGTCAAGAGGACAGCTGATGACAAATTAATGCAAAAGAAACCGAAGCAGCAGTTTGGCGTAACAGGACAGCTGTTCCCGGGACAGCATGTAGGACTGACGAACCCCGATATCCCATATGGTCCCACAAGCACTGCCAGGGGCAATGCCAGAGAGCAGCATAAGGAATGATTGCGAGCATCATTGCTCTGCCACCCCAAATAGAACAGAAAAGCCAAGATGAAACCTTTGGACCTCCAGCATCCCATTGGTCGCCTAGACCTGTCAGGAAAGAGCATTGAGCACTGAGCTTTGAGTACTCCTCATGCACCACTGGGTCAGCCCCAAAGCCAAATAAAACAAAACATACACAAAAGCAGCTTCAAACAGCAGAATGGGACGGTCCGATCACAAGTCTCATCATGGAATCTGTCCAAAAGAAACTCAAAACAGATGGCCCAGGAAGCCTGGGCACTCCTGGTACTACCTCATGTCATTCTATCCGTCTACTCCTACCTGGGGACGGTTTACCAGAAGCCGAGTCACCATCTTCTCTTGTCACTGTTGTTCTGAGGATCAGCAGGAGGCTCCGTGCAAAGACCTGGAAAGTCAGAACAGTGAATACCAGAGAGAAGCACCTCCTCCCACTCCTGAGCTCAGACCAGCCACACCCTCCCACACAATTCCACACAATTCCACCTCTGGGAGACAATGGCAGAAGCTCCTGTCTCTACTGGGGATGCAAATTTTGTTGGCATCTGTGCTGCACTTCAGGAGAGGAACCTGGGCCCAGGCTACAGGGGAGGAAAAGACAGCCTTCTCCAATCCCCAATTCCTCTCTGGCTCCCAGAGGAAAGTCCCTGTACGCCCTGCCAGGGGCCGACTCTCAGCCCAGGAGCTCCCAAATAGGCTGGCAGCAATGCTGCCCCGTGGGAAAAATAGGCTGGAATGTGGTTCCACCATGTGACTTAGAGTGGACAAACCTTCGACACTCTCTTGCAGGGTGGACAAGTATATGCACCTGGGCACTCTGTCCTGGGGACCTCAGTATTATCCACAAATGCAGGTGTCGTCTGCTCAGGGAGAGATGAGGAGTCAGGGGTGCTTTGCACCTTGATGTGAGGGAGCTGAAATTCATGAACCAGAAAAAGATACACCAGTATTGTGGTTAGAAGGCAATAATGTGAGTTGGGTGCTTGACTAGATGAACCTATCAATGCTCTGAATCCCATAAGGCCCCTAGCAGAGCCAGGGATAATACCTGAGCTTAGAGACTCGAGTAAGTCATGAGCATCTCTGTGTATGTGCCCTCTCCCCACCCCAAAATCTAAAGAACCAAAAATAGCCCCCCAAATATATTTTCATGGGCATATCGTAGCCACCTGCAAGTCCCCTTCCCCCACCCCCGCCTGACCCGGGCTCTCACGGCAGACAATGAAAATGACCAGCAACAGGTCTCGTGCCATTAGGTGGAGGGGCTGAAGCTCTGCCCCTCAAATCTGGAGATTCTACAGAAGCGAGCTTAGGGCTGATGGTTCAAACATGGGACTGCTGGGAGTGTTGGGACGGCCAAGCCCCTGGCTGAGTCCCACATTCACCCACTGTTGCCCCATCCTGAGCTGGAGATGATCGTGGCCAAGGAGGCCCCCCAGCATCACGAACTCACAACTGTCACTCCTGAACCTTGGGAGAACCCCCACTGCACCCCCAAAGCTCTGCCTCCCCCTAAAACCTCCATCACTCCTAACGATCCACCTTTATATTGGCGAACAAGTGAAAATCCAGAGCAAAATTGCCCCCAAGTCGGCTCGGCCCCTCGGCTCAGAGTGTGGAAACGGGAAGGCGCGGGGTGCTTACAGGAGGTTGCTTGAGTCCTGCAACTAAATCCTTCTTCAGAGACCCCCTTCCAGGATGGGGCACACATTTACTTGTCCTTTGCCAACTGAGCAACAGCCCCAGTGTCTGAGTCAGGGATGGAAAATGAACCATGACATTTATGATGGCACTTATGACATCACTTCCGTTTCCATTAGGTACCTAAAAGAGCCAGAGTCTAGGCACTGAGAACCTTTTTGCCACCCAGGTGAATCTGTGCTGCAAGGGGGATGGACTCGAATAAAGGGGTGGAGAGGCAAATGCTGGACTGGTCGGTCACACACTGGGGGCCTGGGGGTAAGGAGAAGTCCCCTGATCCTGCATCGAACCAACATCGAACCAATGATATCTAAACATAGAATGTTACCCTGACTCTTGTCAAATGATCCCTGAGCTCAGATACAAGAGTAAACACTGAGCACTGTGGGCTGTGGTGAAATATATAACAAGAAAAGAGGCAAATTCAACCGAAGATGGGGGGAAATGATGTACAAAGACAAATTCGAGAATGAAACATTAAAAGAGTAAAATTTCTGGTCCTTAAAAATCCACGATTCTTAGGGCTGGAGCAATAGCACAGCGGGTAGGGCATACGCCTTGCACGCAGCCAACCCGGGTTCGATTCCCAGCATCCCATATCGTCCCCTGAGCATTGCCAGGAGTAACTCCTGAGTGCAAAGCCAGTAATCTCTGTGCATCGCCAGGTGTGATCCAAAAAAGAAAAAAAATCCCCTATTTTTTATCTATCCCTGCTACAGAAACTCAGTTTCTCCTGAATCCCTATTGTTTATTCACCATTGTTTGTGCACATATATGTGTAAATATAAGTGTTGCTTTGTGTGATTTTTGTTTCGGCGCCACAACCGGCGATTCAGGGCTTACTCCTAGCTCTAGAGGCAGAAATCACTTTGGTACAGACCATATGGGATGCAGCGGATAGAACCTGGGTCGATTGTTTGGAGGGTTACGTCCTTACTCACTGTACTATGTCTCTGGCCTTAAGTAAATGTGCTCCTAGCACACCCAGTGGGATTCCTGAGCAAATGTCCTGACTCCTGGAAAACCAAACCTTTCTTGCTTAAAAGAAAAAAAAAGAAAACCCTTTACTCTGGTTGGATTCTAGTTCTAAACAATTTAGGTGTAACATTGGTTCATCATTTCTCCTCTGCTACAAGGAGCTTAGGCTTACTGAGTAACACCCATCCCAATACCCCTGAATCACTCCCATTTCCTTAGTATTCATCTTTAACTTCCCTGTGCTCTGCTTCCCCTATGCGTTAATCACCCATTTCCCAGAACCACAACCTGTGAATTGTAAGGTCAGATTCATCAGAGATCTCTGGATTTTGTATTCGGAAGTGAAATGCTGACTTTCTCTTTCCTTTATATCCTCTGCAGTTTACTTTAGACAAATATCCCTTTTTGCTCCTGGACAAGGATCAGTGCAGACCCAGGTTGGAAAGATTGTGCTGCAAGGATTGGGATGGCCTTGCCCCCAGCCCTCAGCTTTGTATAGACAAAGGAAGGCAATATTATGCTTTTGTAACTTCAGAGTTAATTGACTGCAGATAGTATATACTCTTGGGCATTGTCATGTTTATGAGACTTAAGCCTCAGCTGCCCTTTGGTCTTAGCACCCTAAAAGCAAGAGACTGGATGGACCCAGGAGAGCTGTGAGATACTCTGGAATCAAAAAGGGACAGGTAAGCACCATAACATAGGAGTGACTGACCATTTACGCAGATAAAAATTTGGCAGACGAAATTCTCATGGGGAGATTCACCCAAGGATACAATACACTCTGTCTCCCAGAGAAATCTATGTTGCTTTTATCTTTTCCTCTAGTTGTCTAAGTTATCAGAACTTGTAGGTGTTTGGATAAACACAGTAAGAGGCAAAGATCCCAACACTTAGTTCTCTGGGCTTTGACAGCAAAAAAGGATTTTTTTTTGCTTTTTGGGTCACACCTGGCGATGCAGAGGGGTTACTCCTGGCTCTGCACTCAGGAGTTACTCCTGGCGTTGCTCAGGGGACCATATGGAATGCTGGGAACCTGCCTGCAAGGCAAACACCCAACCGGCTGTGCTATATCTCCAGCCCCCAGAGCAAATAAGGCTTTTAACACTTACTTCTCTGGGCTCTGAGACCAAGAAAGGCTTTTACTGTAAATCCCAGACTAAGTGTTCGGGCCAGTTCACCTTGTCCTATCCCATGGGGATCCTGTCTCTAGTGTTGTAACAGTTTGCATCAAGACCATGCACACGTGCTTCCTAGAATGTGACATTTCGAAGCTGTGGTAGTTTTGCCATTTGCCCCGGGTCCATACAAGTTCCACGGAAGAACCTCCCTGTTGGGGTGCTAGGAACTACAGCAACTGAAGCCCGAGTCAAGTAATTATGACCAAGCAACTATGCCCTGGAGTAGATGACTTCAGAGTCAATCAACTCCCAAATATTAGGAGCATAGCATTGACGGTCTTACTCTGTTTAACCAAAGAACATTCTGTATAGTAAAAACAAAAATAATCTATAGGGAAAATAGAAAAGCAGGAACATATACAAAGCCCTTCAACTACAAAGCAGTACAGATACAAAGTTGAGAATTACCAGAAAGTTATGGCTTATAAGTAATCAAGACTGACTTGGGGAACTGAGACAACGTGAGGTAAAATACAAAGGAAAGGTTAAAGATAAACTTTAACTAAATGAGGGATGTTAGCAAGGACATGATAAGCTTCTCTGGGAGGAGGAAAAAGGGGTAAATATAGATGAAGCCTAAAACACTTTGGGTTAATATCCAGCAGATCACCAAACAGCCTGGCCCCTGTTTTCTTCTTTGATCCTCTGTCACCCTTCACCGGCCAGGGTGGGGAGACCAATCATAGCCACCAAAGGCACGCAGCGCATGTGCAGACATTATATGAACACAACTCTCATTCAGTACTCAGTGTAATATCCGACTTTTGCCTGATCAGGGAGAGATGAAGAGTCGGGTGCAATTTTCAAGTTGATTTTAGGATACAGAAATTTTACGTTAGAATAAACAACAATGTGGAGTCAGAAATAGTAAGCTGGGAGGGGCGCTTCCCATGCTGACCCGGATAGATATTCGGCATTTCACATGACCCATAAAAAACTTAAAAAAAAATTCCAGAGTGCTGCTCCTGAAGTAAGCCCTGAGATTCCACATATATGCCCAAAATACAGGCAAAAATTGCCCCAAAGTAAATTTTCATTTGCAAACCGCAACCACCCCTAGAACCACCCCCAAGGGATGGTCTGGAAATCAAGGCTACTAATGAATAGGGACCGAGGGCTACTGTGTCATTTGCCATTAGGGAGCTGCCCCTCAAAAATGAACAGTCCTTTTATAGTTTTGGATGCACCACAGGCAATATGGACGAGGAACTTGACTCTGTGCTGAGGCACCGGTCCTGGTCGCGCTTGGAGGTCGATCTTGGGGGGGCCAGATGCAAAGCACACGACCTACCTACTGTGCTATCTCTTTGGTCCTCTAAGAGAATCTGCAGCTTTTGCAGCAGGGAGCTTCCGGCCAAAGCGTCCAGGACAGGGCCCAGTGCAGTCCCGAGCTGGGAGGGTCAGGACGGCCGAGCACCACCACCCACCCACTCGGCCCCGGCCACCCCCCACCGCCCCACGACGGAGCTGCAGGGGATCCCCAGAACCACGCACTCACACCCGTGACCCCTGCGCCCCGGCACAGGCC